TGTCTATCATGCATCTTGCCATCTAGGTAGAATTTATTCAAGCATATGGTATAACGTTGCATGCTATGAATTTTGAGTGAAAACATATAAACATCTGAGAGATTTGGTGAGAGTGTGCAATGAGGTGGCAGGTCAAGCAGTATCATTAAGTGAAAATATGGAAGATCAATCGACCATGGTAAATAGGCAAAACTTAAGGTCATGGTAAAAGAGGACCACAGTAGATCATAGAGGTATAATATATTTTTTTTAAATAGATTTTTTTGAGTTGGAATGAGTAGATAGTCTTAAATTTGATTGAGGACAAGCAATGAACTAATTTTAGGGTTGTGATCAGTCACCATTTCTGCTATAATTATTATTTTAATAGGTGAAAATATGTGAGTTATTTGTATTTTCCATAAAGTTTGAGTGGTTTATATGTCAGTTTCTTCAATTTTCGTATTTGTACGTGTTTTAATTATTCCTAGTACTTTTGATATTTTTGGGAAGGTTTACATGTTTTGTAGGTTGGAGGAAGTCAATGAAATCGCCAGAAAAAGAACACGACGAGTTTTCAGAAAGATTCACAAAGTCTATTTTTTCAGCATGTTGCACATCATGATAGACATGTGGTATTTTGATCATATCTAGAGTGTCGTAAGTCGATATGATGTGGAACCGACGATAAATGAAATCTAACATCAAGGCCTAAAACGTTCATGAAGAAACAAAAGGCTAATTGGGCGCATGCCTCTTTTTTTCCCAAGTATTTGAATACTAGTTGTAGAGATATCTTTCGAATACTCGTCTTCTGTTAAGGAACCGTGACTCGATTCGCCTCTCATATTTTATAATAAAATTGGATGAAAATTGATTAATAGGGTGTAGGCCTCTTTCCTCCCCAAGTATTTGGATACTAGCTATAGAGTTTGCTTTTTGGATACTCTTCATCAACCTAAAAACAACCTCAACCAATTAAAACTATCTTTTTCTGCCTTAGCGCGACCGAAAACTTTTCATTAAGAAATGATGTTTTATCTATTCTAACGCGATCCAAACAAACGCTAAAACCTCCCATGTGTGAGCATACAAGCAACATTTAACCGCTAGAATATGATCAAATAAGGTCCATTCTACAAAGATAAGAACAAACACTTAAGCCTCTCATGCGCGTGCATACAAGCAACCATTAACCACTAGAATACAACCTAAACATTGCTCACGAAAATCAACCAATGGAAAGTCATTTGTTTCCCCTGAACTACGTAGCTTTGAATTCCTCGTCGCACTTGAGGATGCATAGGTGGGAGATTCAACTTCTCATCACACACCATAATAAAAAATCTAAAAATATGTTTTTCTTGCAAAGAACTACGTAGATTTGAATTCCTCGTCGCACCAGAGGATACGTAGCACCGAAATTCAACGTCTCATCAAACATTATGATAAAAAATCCAAAAATATATTCTTTATATATATATATATATAAAGAAAAGGGGAGCGCATTGGCCAAAGTACATAAAAACTAAAAAAAAATCAAAAAAGGCACAGGGAGTATCAATCTGCAACAAATCAACAGGAAAAAAGGCAACAAACAACTACAAGAACCCCAATCACCATCCAAAGGGATCAAAAACCAAAAGAAAAAAGAGAAGGCACAAAATCCAACATCTAGAGAAAGTTAGATATCTCTAATCTAAGACACCTGTAACAAGAACGAATCCAAAATAATAACAAGAGCACATCCATAGGAGGCCGAAGCCACTCAAACTGCTATTGGCTCATAAACGATATAGGTTTCTCCATCCAGGACATGAAGGTACATGATTTTTCCATAGACCTACCTAAATGCCATTTCCAAGCCAAAATGATGCTCATGTCCTCCACGTCTTTAGGTGTCACCAAAGAACCAGAAAAACTATATCATTCCGAGTTTTCCAAATCGACCAAATCACGACATGTCAAATCATCCTCAAACCCCTTTAGACCTAGAAACACCACTCGGAATAACAAACTATTGGAAAAGTCAATACATCTCTAAGTAAAACAACACACCACCCTAACCATTTAAAAATCCTATACCAAATATAGGATGCAACCTTACAGGTCACAAAGAGATGATAGGACGACTCAATGGGCATCGAGCAAAGGGGATAAAAGAATTCCCATCTATAGTAAGTTAACTCTGGTCAGAATGTGATCCTGAAGAAGTCGTCAAGAGAAAACTATAGTTTTAGAGAAACTCGTCTGAGTGTAATATCGTGTAACAACTAATTCAAGTCTACACCTGAATAGTCACCGCACTACGTCCTAATAAGGCCAAGATGGGTTAAAAGGTTCTAAGGGCCTCAGCTTCTCAGGCTCTCAGGTTGAAAGTAAAATGCCTTCACAACTACTTGCTTAACATGTTTACCCTCAAGAACGCCTCCACTGAGCGGGGGAAAGACTTCACGACCTAAGGAGAACTCCCTGGCCGCAAGACAAGAGTATGCAGAGGACACATAATAAGCACCATCACTCGATTCACGCAACCTCTACACGTCACTCTCAAAAGAAAGGTTAAAGTCTCTAATCATGAATTGTAAATCACTAAACAAGCCAGCTCGTAATCAAAGAGAAAATCTCTTCTCCACTTAAGGTCCCAAGACTACCTATTCCTTTCCCATCTACCAACTTCCCGCACAAAGTTTAAGGCTTAGATGGAAATTAAAAAAATTCTAGGGAATCTAAGACAAAAATGTGTATTCTTAACCCAAAGGTTCTCCTAGAAGAAGATAAAAAGACCAATCCTAATTTTCAAGGAGAGGCCCTTTCTGTACCAGCCAGAAGTGTTATCAACTTTGGCACTCAGAAGAGAAATTCCTTTCCACCAAGACGAGGTCGATCGGAGGCAACCAACTCTCCCTCCCAGGATAGAAGTCATAGAGGATGCTCCATATATGGCTGTAGAATATGACGCCAAATATCAGAAGCCCCTAAAAGTAGGCACCAACTCCACTTATTTGAAATGGTCAAGTTGACCAACGGAAGGTCACGAACACTAAGACCCCTAAGTTTCTTAGGCTTGCAAACATCCACCCATTTGACCTAAACAATCTTAGATTCCCCTTTCACTCTTCCCCAAAAAAATCTCCTATAAATCTTTATTATCTTCTTTCAAACTTTAACAGACATCTTCTATTCGCTATATGAATAAAGATAAATAATGTAGCACTATGTTTATAATTGAAATGTTTAGTTTATCTTTGATGTTATGATACCCTTAATTTAAAATAAAATAAAAAACTTATTTTATATTTAGCTTATTTATTAACAAATTAGAGAGTGATTATTACAAAATTGTGCAATTTAAAAAAATAAGAGTAAGAATAATATAAATAAAAATGTAGGGATTTCATTGATTTTTATAAATTTTATGTTTTGTCCCTTTTGCGCGCGCGCGCGTGTGTATATATATATATATATATATATATATATATATATATATATATATATATATATATATATATATATATATATATATATATATATATATATATATATATATATATATATATATATATATATATATATATATATATATATATATATATATATACACACACACCAAAGATTGTATTTAGTGGAAGTAGGATCGGAATATATTGTAAAAAAGGGAAATATAGAAAGGGAATTGTAGAGACAATGTTATAAGAAACTTCAAAGTTGTTATTCAAAGGTGTGTTTACAAAGTAAACTGAAATCCCTTTATATAGGGAAGAAAAGGATTACTATTTAAGCCGGTAACCACTACTTACAATAATCGGTAAACTAAAACACAACTTGTATAATTATTGTCGGGTACTCTTTAGGCACCATCGACACAATAATTAACAAGAAACAAAAAACAAAAGAAATAAAAATGCATGCCTAGAAATTCTAAAGACAAGATAAGATTCTTATTCCCTTGTCTTTTACAAAAGAAAGAAAATGCATGCAATTATGCCTAAAATTTTTAAAGACAAGATAAGATTCATTTGTCTTTGGCTTTGGAAAAGATTCTTTCTTTATTATTTCTTTTCCTCTAGCCTTTGACTATTGATTCTTACTTCATTGTTTCTAGACAAGATATCAATTTAATTTTTTGCTTTTCTTATTTCTTTCATAGATGAAATCATTGCATCCCAAAAATCTTCTGCAGTAGGTTCCTCCGCTTGACCTTCTCCTGCTAAACCATCAAAATTATGGGAATCCATTGATCCCATGGAAGAGCTTGTCTTCATAGATAAATCTTCATCTTTTGATGGTTTTGTTGGAAAAGTAGAGAAGAATTGGTTCTTCATATGATCCAAAATTCTAACCATGATTTCATCTTCTGTTTCATTGGGATATTTCCTCTGGAAGAAGTTCTTCAAGTTTTCCATAGACATTTGTTGGGAGCTTTGCTCCTTGACCTTATTATTCTGGTCTTCAGCTATAGCTTCTTGAATTAATTTTATTTTATTCTGGACATCCTCTAAGCTCATCTTGTTCCACCATTTATAAAAGAAATTTCTTTCTAAAATGGGAATGTTGAATTTGTTTTTTGATATGGTGATTGACCATCTCCATATCCATGGAATATTAAATTTAGTAAAGAACAATAATGGACATTGTCCAATGATTAAATTATCAGATAAATTTTTTACAATAAGTGGACTATTATCACACCATGGATTGTATAAGTTAAGAATTTCTTTAGGAAGAATCTCCAAAGATGGACCAAATTTAGTCCACCATTCATAAAACCAATTTGGTATGGGTTTATTAACCATCTCTTGATTAATAGAGAAAAACCAAGAATGCTTGTTCTTGGGATTTTGGTAATAAAAAGCTTGAGTGAAAGCTTGGACATAGTCCCAATAATTAAAGTAAATATACTTTCCTTCTGCAATTCTTATTGCCTTTTCAGCATTTGGGTTAAGACCCCATTCTCTTGGTAACAAAATTTTGTTAATGTGACATTTACTGAAGTTTATAAAACTTTCAGGATTATTGTTTTAGTAATGGTGGGTAATTGTTACTGATTCGATAACAGTCAGGAGAATTTCTAGGTTGGGCCTAGATTTTCCATGAAGACCTGGATATCCTCTTGATTCGAGGTATCTAGTCTTGATAGACCAACCATCATTTGGATTTATCTTAATATCTTCATCATCAATATACATGATTTTCTCAGTTACTGGATTTTTAAAATAATTCATTTGTTCTTGAGGTGGGTTATTAACCGCAACTTCCTTGTAGGATGTAGTTTTATTAGAGGAATAGGAAGCAATATCTTCCTTTTTTGCTGAGGATGCAGGTAATTGCTGTATTTTTCTGCCTTTGTAGACAGTAGTCAAATCCCCTATTAGAGGAATGTTTGATTCTGCCTGGGGTAACATATTGTTACTCCCTCTCCCACCACGGTCATAACCGCGGCCTCTACCCCTATATGGGGTCATCATTTTTTCCCTGCAAAAATTCACGAGTTAAATAATCAACAAGTAAATTATTTTCACCTTTAATGTGTTGAATATCAAATTCAAACATAGATAATTGTGATTGCCAACTAGCAAAAATTTGCTTAGCAACAAGATTTTTAACATCTTTTTCAATAATTGATTTAGCTGAGCTACAATCAATTTTTAATAAAAAAAATTATTAAGAAGATCATCTTGAAATTTTGAAATGCATTTTATAATAGAAAGCATTTCTTTCTTGTTAGTTAAATATTTTGCTTGTGTTGGATTCCATTTTCCAGAAGTAAATCTAACTAAAACTTCTTTTGATGTTTCAGGTATTATTTGCTTAAGGATTCCTCCATAGCCTATGTCTGAAGCATCAGTTTCAACAATTTTGAAATACTTAGGATTAGCAAGAGATAAACAAGGCAAACATTTCACCTTATTTTTAATTCTTTGGACTGCCTGAGAATGTTTTTCAGTCCAAGGGCCAGGATTCTTTTTAAGCCTAGCATGTAATATTGCCGTATCTTTAGCAAGATTTTCATAATAATATGCTATGTAATTGAGGCTACCTAGAAACCTTTGTAATTGTTTGTTGTTTTCAGATTTGAAAAATTGAGTTTGGCACAAGGAAATTATCGGGACGAGTCGCGTACTAGGTCGCTTTCTTTAAGACGTTTCGATGTACTGCCAAAATATGCAAAGCAGTCGACTTATGACGATGTCTCCAGGATAAAACAGCCCGTTCAATTACGTACGATTGATAAATCGCTCTAGAAATACACCTTTCTAAGTCACAGTATCTGGCGAAAATAGCCAGTTGAAAAAACAAGAAAGAACAAGAAAAGAAGGATTTGTAGACGAAGAGAATTAAGGGAGAGAAGATGGAAATCAAAATTCGTGTGAACTTTTTTTGAAATCCGCTGCATCACTACTGAACTTCTACCCTGTATTTATAGGCAGCTAGTAAGGCTGAGTAGGGAGAAATTCGTGGTGAATGGAGAAAATCGTGGGAGAATGGGAAAATACTGGATCTAGTCAATATGGCAGTTACTGACCAATTATTTTCTTAATTAATTAATATTTATTAATGATAATTAAATTCTATAAATTCAGGTCCAAAAAATAATTCATCTAGACCGAACCGAACCGAGCCGAGCCGAGCCGGTCGGTGGTGGCGGCGCGCACGCGTGTGTGTCTTGATGGTCATGGGTGTGTCCTCACTGAAGGAAAATTGCGATCTAAACGCAGCGGAAAACAAAAAATTTTCCTTTAGTGATCCTCACGAATGAGCATGGTCAGTGATAGAATCGTTACCTCTTTGTGGCGATTCAGATCTTTGATGCAGCGATCACAAGCGTTGATGAAGTGCAACGCCTCTACTCAGTCCACACGAACAGCTTCCGGTCACAGTGCTAGCTGCTTACGAACGGAATTATTTGAGTGAGAAAAGAGAATCAAAAACGAAATTGCATCAAGTGAAAGCTTCATCACAAGGGTTCCTTTTATAGACTCTCTTGTGGGCTGCGGGCTAAAACCCTAATTCACATGATCCATAATAATATTATATATTATTATAATAACTATTATTATAATAAATATATTTATTTTATTATTATTTTATAACCATTATAAAATAACAATAATTATTATTATATTATCCGAATTTCTATTTTTCACTTAAGTGCACCGTACCTTACGGTGTTCCTTTGATTTCTCTATCTCTCATCAAACTGTCCTTATGTGTGTGACCCTGTAGGATTTCGTAACGTTGGTAATTATATTAAATTATATATATTTAACATAATAAACAGTAAGCGGTATCTAGCAACACATCACTGCTACCCAAGTCACGAAAATGTCATGTGATCTGACAAAACCTTTTTCGTGATAATATATGTTTGTACAATTACCCTTTTGCCCCTATGTCTATATTGAACACAAGGCATACACTGTGTCATCCTTGTCCAGTTCAATATTGGGCCCTTAGACATTTCTCCTGTTATGCAGGATTGGCAAATTCCATCTAGGACACTCATGTCCCTCAGCATGCTTCGTGGAGTGCCCATCAACTGTCTTTATGATCATCCAGTTACGGATAATGTTTGATCAGCAATAAAGCACCCGACTCTACATCTAGGGTCCATAGTGGTTTCAGGTCGAAGGGTGGTAATACACCATTATCACCATGAGAATAACTTATGACACTTTGCATAACATACTATGTAGTATTCTCATAGCGGGTCAATCCGGTATAAATATTACTCCTAATATTTATACCTATGTCAAGACTTGATAACTCTTTATCCATGATCCATGAGATGTGATCATCAGTCTATCTTCATAATAGTCTCAATGCTTTTAATGTTATCCCACTTTGCAATAAAGCTTGACTACGGATATTTTAAGAATAATGTCTTTATGTTTAATGGGATCTCATGATTAAGTCACACTTAACATTTCATTAAACAGACTAACTATTCTAGGGACTTTATTATTCTGAAAGACAAACATAATAAAGAAATGCCTTTTATTATTAAACGAATAATCTGATACAAGTACCAAAAAGTATTGGCCTCTAGGGCTTACACCAACAATCTCCCACTAGCACTAGAGCCAATTAGGCATACCCTTAATACCCATAGATCTAGTATGACCATCATGCTTCTGTTGCGCAAGAGGCTTTGTTAATGGGTCAGCGATATTGTCAAGTGTAGGTACTCTGCATATCTTCACATCTCCCCGATCGATTATCTCTCGAATGAGGTGATAACGCCTAAGTATGTGTTTGGATCGTTGGTGAGATCTAGGCTCCTTAGCTTGTGCGATAGCACCATTGTTATCACAATATAAACTAATGGGATCCACAATGCTAGGGACTATGCCAAGTTCACTAATGAACTTCTTGATCCAAACAGCTTCCTTTGCTGCATTTGAGGCAGCAATATACTCGGCCTCAGTTGTAGAATCAGCAACTGTTTCTTGCTTTGAACTTTTCCAGCTCACAGCGCCACCATTGAGACAGAACACATAACCAGATTGTGATCTAAAATCATCCTTATCTGTCTGGAAGCTAGCATCAGTGTAACCAATTACATCAAGCTCTTCCTGACCTCCATATATCAAGAATGAATCCTTAGTCCTTCTCAAGTACTTAAGAATATTCTTGACAGCTACCCAGTGAGCATCACCGGGATCAGATTGGTACCTACTCGTTGCACTTAATGCATACGAGACATCTGGTCGAGTACATAACATGGCATACATGATAGATCCTATTGCAGATGCATATGGAATCTTATTCATGCGATCCCTTTCTTCCTTAGTTGAAGGGGATTGTGTTTTTGATAAACACAGACCATGTTGCATAGGTATGAATCCTTTCTTGGAATCATGCATATTAAAGCGTCTCAACACTTTATCTATGTATGTACTCTGACTTAGGCCAAGCAGTTTTTGTGATCTATCTCTATAGATCCTAATTCCTAATATATAGGCTGCTTCACCTAGGTCTTTCATAGAAAAACAATTCCCTAACCAAGTTTTCACTTGTTGCAAGGTAGGGACATCGTTTCCAATGAGTAATATGTCATCTACATATAATACCAGAAACACGATCATGCTCCCACTAACCTTCTTGTAGACACAAGGTTCATCTTCATTTTTGATGAATCCATATTGTTTTACGGTTTCATCAAAACGAAGATTCCAGCTTCTGGAAGCTTGCTTCAATCCATAGATAGATCGCTGTAACTTGCATATCTTTTGGGCATCTTGTGGTATGTCAAATCCTTCAGGTTGTGTCATGTACACATCCTCAAGAAGATTCCCATTAAGGAAAGCAGTTTTGACATCCATCTGCCATATTTCATAATCATGATATGCAGCGATGGCAAGTAAAATCCGAACAGATTTAAGCATTGCAACTGGTGAAAAGGTTTCATCATAGTCAACCCCATGAATTTGTTTATAGCCTTTTGCAACCAGTCTTGCTTTATAGGTATGTACCTTACCATCCATGTCAGTCTTCTTCTTGAAGACCCACTTGCATCCTATAGGGTTAACTCCTATAGGAGGTTCTACCAAGGTCCAAACCTGGTTTGTGTACATGGAATCCATTTCAGATTTCATGGCTTCTAGCCACTTCTCAGACTCAGGACCAGTTATGGCCTCTTTGTAGGTCACAGGCTCATCTTGATCCATGAGTAATACATCACCCTGATCACTTATGAGATATCCATATCTCTCAGGTTGGTGACGTATCCTGCTTGACCTACGCTGGTCTTGTTCTTCTTGAGCAGGTTGCTCTTCCACAACTACTTGTGTTTCCCGCTCTAGTTCCTCCATAGGTGTTTCAATGTTTTGTGATTCTTGAATTTCTTCAAGCTCTATTTTCCTCCCACTGTTTCCTTTGGAAATAAAATCCCTTTCCAGAAAGACTCCAGTTCGAGCGACAAACACTTTGCCCTCAGAAGGATTGTAGAAGTAATATCCTCTTGTTTCTTTAGGATACCCCACAAATAAGCATTTGTCAGATTTGGGCTCAAGCTTGGTTGAAATTTGTCGTTTGACGTAAACCTCGCAACCCCAAATCTTCATGTAAGACATATGTGGTTTCTTACCACTCCATATCTCATATGGTGTCTTATCAACCTTTTTGGATGGAACACGGTTAAGTGTGTAAGCTGCTGTTAATAATGCATGTCCCCAAAAGGAGTTTGGAAGATCGACGTGACTCATCATGGATCGGACCATGTCTAACAAGGTTCGATTTCTTCTCTCAGATACACCATTCCATTGTGGTGTTCCAGGAGGAGTAAGTTGGGATAGAATCCCATACTCTTTTAGATGGTCATCAAATTCTAGGCTTAAATATTCACCGCCTCGATCTGATCGAAGAACTTTAATATTCTTACCTAGTTGGTTTTGTACTTCATTCTTGAATTCCTTGAACTTTTCAAAGGACTCAGATTTGTGTTTCATTAAATACACATATCCGT